GGGTGAGTTTTCTTAAAAAATTGGTAATTTTAAAAGGGGGAGGAGGGATACACTTTTAAACGAACTTTTAGGGTTGCTTGAGGAACCTGAAAACAAAATCAATCAAAGAAACAAAAATATTTAATGCACCAATAGAATTAGAACCCTAACAAAAGACGAAGACAGTCACTTAAGAGCGCGAGTTTTCATAAAAAAAATCGGTGATTTTAAAAGGGGGAGAAGGGATACACTTAAAACGCACTTTTGGGGTTGCTTGAGGAACCTGAAAACAAAATTAAACAAAGAAACAAAAATATTTAATGCACCAATAGAATTACAACCCGAACAAAAGTCGATGACAGTCACGTAAAAGCTCGGGTTTTCTTAAAAAATCGGTAATTTTAAAAGGGGACGAAGGGATACTCTTTTAAACGCACTTTTATGGTAGCTTGAGGATCCTGAAAACAAAACCAATCAAAAAAACAAAAATATTAAATGCACCAATAGAATTACAACCCGAACAAAAGTCGACGAGAGTCACGTAAGAGCGCGAGTTTTCTTTAAAAATCAGTAATTTTAAAAGGGGGCGAAGGGATACACTTTTAAACGCACTTTTATGGTAGCCTGAGGATCCTGAAAACAAAACCAATAAAAAAAAACAAAAATATTAAATGCACCAATAGAATTACAACCCGAACAAAAGTCGACGAGAGTCACGTAAGAGCGCGAGTTTTCTTTAAAAATCAGTAATATTAAAAGGGGGCGAAGGGATACACTTTTAAACGCACTTTTAGGGTAGCTTGAGAATCCTGAAAACAATACCAATCAAAAAAACAAAAATATAAAATGCACCAATAGAATTACAACCCGAACAAAAGTCGATGCGAGTCACGTAAGAGCGCGAGTTTTCTTTAAAAATCGGTAATTTTGAAAGGGGGAGAAGGGATACACTTTTAAACGCACTTTTATGGTAGCTTGAAGTTCTGAAAACAATACCAATCAAAAAAACAAAAATATTAAATGCACCAATAGAATTACAACCCTAGCAATAGTCGATAAAGGTCACGTAAAAGCGCGAGTTTTCTTAAAAAATCGGTTGTTTCAAAAGGGGGCGAAGGGATACTCTTTTAAACGCACTTTTAGGGTTGCTTGAGGATCCTGAAAACAAAATCAATAAAAAAAAACAGAAATATTAAATGCACCAATAGAATTACAACCCGAACAAAAGTCGATGAGAGTCACATAAGAGCGCGAGTTTTCTTTAAAAATCGGTAATTTTGAAAGGGGGAGAAGGGATACACTTTTAAACGCACTTTTAGGGTTGCTTGAGGATCCTGAAAACAAAATCAATAAAAAAAAACAGAAATATTAAATGCAAATCGGATTACAACATGAACAAAAGTCGATGAGAGTCACGTAAGAGCGCGAGTTTTCTTAAAAAATCGGTAATTTCCAAAGGGGGCGAAGGGATACACTTTTAAACGCACTTTTAGGGTAGCTTGAGAATCCTGAAAACAATACCAATCAAAAAAACAAAAATATTAAATGCACCAATAGAATTACAACCCGAACAAAAGTCGATGCGAGTCACGTAAGAGCGCGAGTTTTCTTTAAAAATCAGTAATTTTAAAAGGGGGCGAAGGGATACACTTTTAAACGCACTTTTATGGTAGCTTGAAGTTCTGAAAACAATACCAATCAAAAAAACAAAAATATTAAATGCACCAATAGAATTACAACCCTAGCAATAGTCGATAAAGGTCACGTAAAAGCGCGAGTTTTCTTAAAAAATCGGTTGTTTCAAAAGGGGGCGAAGGGATACTCTTTTAAACGCACTTTTAGGGTTGCTTGAGGATCCTGAAAACAAAATCAATAAAAAAAACAGAAATATTAAATGCACCAATAGAATTACAACCCGAACAAAAGTCGATGAGAGTCACATAAGAGCGCGAGTTTTCTTTAAAAATCGGTAATTTTGAAAGGGGGAGAAGGGATACACTTTTAAACGCACTTTTAGGGTTGCTTGAGGATCCTGAAAACAAAATCAATAAAAAAAAACAGAAATATTAAATGCAAATCGGATTACAACATGAACAAAAGTCGATGAGAGTCACGTAAGAGCGCGAGTTTTCTTAAAAAATCGGTAATTTCCAAAGGGGGCGAAGGGATACACTTTTAAACGCACTTTTAGGGTAGCTTGAGAATCCTGAAAACAATACCAATCAAAAAAAAACAGAAATATTAAATGCACCAATAGAATTACAACCCGAACAAAAGTCGATGAGAGTCACGTAAGAGCGCGAGTTTTCTTTAAAAATCGGTAATTTTGAAAGGGGGAGAAGGGATACACTTTTAAACGCACTTTTAGGGTTGCTTGAGGATCCTGAAAACAAAATCAATAAAAAAAAACAGAAATATTAAATGCACCAATAGAATTACAACCCGAACAAAAGTCGATGAGAGTCACGTAAGAGCGCGAGTTTTCTTAAAAAATCGATAATTTCCAAAGGGGGCGAAGGGATACACTTTTAAACGCACTTTTAGGGTAGCTTGAGAATCCTGAAAACAATACCAATCAAAAAAACAAAAATATTAAATGCACCAATAGAATTACAACCCGAACAAAAGTCGATGAGAGTCACGTAAGAGCGCGAGTTTTCTTAAAAAATCGGTAATTTTAAAAGGGGGAGGAGGGATACACTTTTAAACGCACTTTTAGGGTAGCTTGAGGATCCTGAAAATAAAACCAATCAAAGAAACAAAAATATTTAATGCACCAATAGAATTACAACCCTAGCAATAGTCAATGACAGTCACGCGAGATGAGTTTTCTTAAAAAATCGGTTATTTCAAAAGGGGGTGAAGGGATACTCTTTTAACCGCACTTTTAGGGTTGATTGAGGAACCTTAAAACAAAATCAATCAAAGAAACAAAAATATTAAATGCACCAATAGAATTACAACCCTGGCATTAGTCGATGATAATCACTAAGACCGCGAGTTTTTTTTTAAAAACGGTAATTTTAAAAGGGAGAAAAGGGATACACTTTTAAACGCACTTTTAGGGTTGCTCGAGGAACCTGAAAACAAAACCAATCAAAAAAACAAAATTATTAAATGCACCAATAGAATTACAACTCGAACAAAAGTCGACGAGAGTCACGTAAGAGCGCGAGTTTTCTTTAAAAATCAGTAATTTTAAAAGGGGGCGAAGGGATACACTTTTAAACGCACTTTTATGGTAGCTTGAAGTTCTGAAAACAATACCAATCAAAAAAACAAAAATATTAAATGCACCAATAGAATTACAACCCTAGCAATAGTCGATAACAGTCACGTAAGCGCTCGAGTTTTCTTAAAAAATCGGTAATTGTAAAAGGGGGAGAAGGGATACACTTTTAAACGTACTTTTATGGTAGCTTGAGGATCCTGAAAACAAAACCAATCAAAAAAACAAAATTATTAAATGCACCAATAGAATTACAACTCGAACAAAAGTCGATGACAGTCACGTAAGAGCGTGAGTTTTCTTAAAAAATCGGTAATTTTAAAAGGGGGAAAAGGGATACACTTTTAAACGCACTCTTAGGGTTGCTTGAGGAACCTGAAAACAAAATCAATCAAAGAAACAAAAATATTTAATGCACCAATAGAATTACAGCCCTGGCAGTCGATGACAGTCACTAAGACTGCGAGTTCTTTTTAAAACAGTAATTTTAAAAGGGGGAGAAGGAATACACTTTTAAACGCACGTTTAGGGTTGCTTCAGGAACCTGAAAACAAAATCGATCAAAGAAACAAAAATATAAAATGCACCAATAGAATTACAACCCTGGCAATAGTCGACGACAGTCACGTAAGGGGGCGAGTTTTATTTTAAAAAATTTGCGATTTTAAAGGGGGGAAGGGATGCACCTTTACACACACTTTTAGGATCCTGAGAACAAAATCAACCAAGGATACAACAATATTTAGGTAAAGGTAATGCGCCATAAAAATGGGTTTGGACTGTTTGCCAGTCGGTAAGTCTGGTTTTCTTTCTAAATCTGTTAAAAACCTTTCATTTTGTGTTTCTTGAGTTCTGAAGCAGAGATTTGCTTCTCACACCCTCGTTACATAACAATAAAACGTGGAGAACGTCATTTGTTTCATACAAAGTGATCGAAAGTTGATGCACCGATAACGGCAAAAATTTTACAACTTCCTGTACATAAAGCAATTGTGTAATCAGAGTAGGAAAACTCGTAATTTAAATTAGCACAAAAAAAGAGTAGTTTTATGTAAACGACATCGTCGTACAACCTCACCTAATCGTTAAAAACCGCAATAAAAACAAGAGAGAAGCGACCCGACAATCGGCCAATTATTTAAATGAAATCAAAATTTATGACGTCAATTAAATTATATCACAATTATTAAGCTACAAATGCGCACTATACTACTCCATAAACAGGTGCAGAACAGATAAAAGAGTTCTTATTACGGTACAATCATAAAGCATGTACAAAAATGGATCGACCAGCTCATTACTGGACGTAATTGCGTTGCAATGACGCTCTCAACCTGTGAACTCGCCTGGGCGACTTTAACTTTCAACACAGGTAAAAATACACAAATTTAAAACCCTCCCCAGTTTACAACGAGATTAGGGGTTAAAATTCGCTTACTCACCGCAAAAAGGAGCCGGTTAAGGGCGCAAACTGGCCAAGTAAAAGTATTCCATTAAAAAAGAACCTGCCAAGAAAGTCTTATTACAACGAACGAATCGAAGGGCACTAAACACGAAAACACTTTCGATATTGTCCAAACACGTACGGCACTAAACTCTCTAAAAGCTTAAAACTAGAGAAACCGAAATTAAAACACAAAAATGACAGTAAAACACAGGTCTCTATCATAACCTTCGCCATGTTGTTTTATTTCAAAAGTTTGCGATGCCAGTGTCCTCTATGATTATAAGAAGCTACCATGCGTCAGGCAGCGTTCAACTCAAGTTGACCCCCAATAAAAATATAGGACGCTTTAATAAAACGATTTAATTCTTCCCCTTTCTCCCTCCTCCAAGAGAGGAATACGAAAAGGTCTTTTCACCATTAAAACAGCGATTTTGAATTATATTATACAAAGTGCTTCAAAAATCTAACAAAGAAATACTGTCAGAACCCAAATCTACGCCCTTAATTCATATATCTGTATATACGCCTCCGTTAGGGTTATCATCTGCGGTAGTATGTCAATGACGTGCAAATCTTGCATCTCGTACCACTTCCCCGTGGACTTCTGCAGGATGTGCACACGATACGTGCCCTTGCTGGGCTCCCCGTCGTGCACGATGTTCGCGGTCAAATCATAGATCGTATTCGCATGCCTTGCCTTGATCTCGGGCGTGAGAAGTTCCCCGAAATCGATGTTCCTAAAAAAACGGCGCGATTATTAACACGCCAGTAAAGCGCGTCGCGTACTTAACGGGAAAGTTGACGATCGTCGGGTTCTTCTCGACGAAGAAGGTGTTCTTCGTGAAGCGCTTGATGTAGAGAATGAGATAGGGGGGTAACTGCGTGATCTCGAAACGCTTGAGGAAGTTCTCCTTGTACGTTTTGTACTCTTTTTCAGTTTGGCCGTTGAACTTCGTCAGTAGCTGGTAGAGGTTCACTTGAGGGATGATGTTCTCGCGGAACTCGTCAATGAAGAGTGGCGGAGGAGGTAGATCGCAGGTGAGGTAGAGGAACGGGGATTCGGTCACGAACTCTTGGTACTCGGGGGTCATCATCAGGTTGATTTTGATGTGATCGTCGAGTTCGGTCGGCGGAATTTTTCGGGTGTAAATGTTCATGGAGCCTAGGAAGGATTTGTGAATGATCGAGCTGTCCTTGCGTTTCGAGCCGTTCAGCGCGCGATGCAAGGCGTTCAGGAACCACGAGAGGAAGTCGATCGGATCGCCCTGCTGAGTAAACTGGAACTTCTTTCTGCTCCAGAGCACGACTGCTTGGAGCATTTCGTGGGGGGAGACGTGCGCCTTGAAGTTACGGGGGTTCCACAGTTTGCGCATCAGTTCACCAAAGCGCTGGACTAGAGTGTAGCTGGAGTCGCCGGGCGGGCGGCTGACCTTGCTGTAGTTTTCCTCGCGCAGGAAGTAGTTGCGTAAGGGGGCCACATGAGACAGAGACTACAAGCAAGCAAGACAGTTAAACAGTGGAAATCGGCGGTAATATATAAACAACACCTGCAAAGTCTCAATGCTGAGATCTCACACCTTGAGACAGACTAACCAATCAATCAATATTACCTGAAGAACGACATTGCAGTAGTCGTTAGCTTTGATATTATTCAGGCCGACTATTCCCGGCATATACAACGATCCATCGATGGCTCGGGACAGCTTCGTGCTGGCATCTAAAGTCTCAATATGCGCCTCCGCAAAAGTGGGATTTAGGACGTATTTTATGTCGTCCAAGGACGAGTCTGAAAGTCCCACGTTATATTCTAAAATGGAACACTACACCACAAACCTATGATTTCGTAGTTATCCGGCAGGCAGTAAAACTTTAAGGTGTGCAAATTGAGAAACACGTGGTGAGTTTCGGCGACAGAGTGAGTGTACGCATGCGTATTCGTACCTCTCCCTTGAAAGTACTTACCGCACACCAAACACGCGTACACGTTGATTCTGGTTAACGACACCGAGCAGAGCTTCTCGAAGTCAAAGTCTAGGTACTGTCGATTAATCGTGTCGAGGTAGGGGCAGAGACGATTGACCCGCCTTGCACCTTGTTCTGGTTTGGTTGGGACCACTGCAAAAAGGACGTTATGGGAGTATTCCAAACGGGAATGTCACCTTCTTTAGTTGAAGCGGAAAGCTCACTGGCATTTAGCTTTGCTCTTTTAAGTGGTGGCTGCTTTACTGAATCCATTAGAAACGTAAATAAAACATAAACATTGAGGTTAGAATAACAGTTCACTTTGAACTGCTCATACGCTAAACTTTAACCTACTCGACTGCCAATTGATATACAAGGCGACTAAAAATTACTGTAATTACGTACATAGGATTCTCCGCCATTTTTTCCTGGTTGTTAAAAAACCCAGAGGCCTAAGTTCCCCAACATTATTATTTTCACAAGGGCTCAGGAAATCCACAAGGATGTAGAGTACTTAACCCCCCCGTTAGTTGTAAACAACTTTGGTGTAATAAAAACCTTTTGCTAAGAGAAAGATGGAAAGATTACATGGCCTTGGAGGCAAATTCAAATGTTACGACAAATTATGTAAAAATCAGTCAATCGCAACTCATATACCATACATAGGTACAAAATCGAAGAGTTTTTACTAGTATTATCTTATCGCCAAAATATGTAGCATGGGCCTTCGTTCGGTATTTCCCAGCTTATATGTAGTTGAGAGTCCAGAGCAGTCCCAACATAGAGTGTCGTAACTTTAGTGTCAGTTATTTACCAACCCTGTAACCGTCTCTTCACGGAGAAAATGTTAGATTACAAACAACAGGTCAGTACACATACATACATCAAAACAATTCGATAATTACCACATCTTTAAAAAAATGTCAAAACTTATATGAGTATTACTTCTGGTTAATTCCATGTAATTAAAACATAAACATAAATTAAGTAAACATTACACCGAAAACAAACCATTTCAAACAAAGAATATAAAATGGTGTATACAAAACACGAATACACGATATAAAGAAATGCAAAGATTACTACCTGCATTAAATAACACAAAAATAACAAGTATTTACTAAGCTACGCGTTCGTGACCGCCATTAGAAACAAGATGCCAAACGTAATCTATACTGTATTCATTTTAAGAAGGTAGCGGTAGAAAGCATAGGGAAACTTTGACTTCCAGTGTGATTGGTTAAAACATGAGTCAGTATTATACTGAAACATAAAACGAGTAGCGAATTTTGCAAGCTGATAGTTTCTGTTGTCAACTAAACTGTTGAAATGTCATTAGCTGTTAATGCCAAAGATTTTTTTCTGTTTGCAGTGCTGGATATTTCTACTTTACAATAATTTGGGGCCGTTTTATATTTTTCCTGTGTGTGTTTATCTTCAAACACAGCGCCATCTACTACCTTCTTATAATGAATGAAGTATCTCTCTGATGACGCAAAACAGCTTTCCCCTCCCAAAAATTGCGCGGTTACCAACTCTCAAAAATGTGTGCAACGCCGTAAGTTGTATATACAGGGTGGAACCTCTCAAAGTGAATAGGGTTAAGTGCCAAACATTCCTACTATGTTTAAAATGTCTCACGTGGTTCTTAATTGCGACTCGGCACTAAATTCCATACTGCATTTCTAAGACTGTCTTAACTGTTAAAAAAAGAACGTTATTTTTTTCTTGGTTGAGATATGCTACGATAGTGTAATGGAACGGAAAATCATAATTAAGGGTGCACGACGCCGTGATTATGAATCTGGCGGCTAACACTAGCTCCTGGGACCTTCATGTTTGACTTAAACACACAAACCACTCACTCGGGCGCAGGACTCTGCAGCAGGGTGATGGATCAAGTTGACCTAGAACTACTTGTCACACTGCTCACTGATGCCCTTCTCAGCAGCTCGATGAAGCGAGTTAAAACAAATAGAAACACTGAAACACTCCCTGGTGAAAGCTTAGGAAAGTCATCAGAAGAGTATGTAATACAGTCAAGTGCACTGGGTGCTGCGATGAATATGGAACGTCCCTCACTGTGTATAGTAAGACGATTCGGAAGGCAAAAAAAGCGTCTTGGGAAAGCAAAGCAATTGATTCAGAATGTTTTAAATTATATACAGGCTCTGAAGGATTCCATCTGGAGGATTTAAAAAAATTTAAAAATCCAAATTATCACGTTTCCCAATCATTTGATGTATCTACTTAGAACGTGTAAAATCTGACGAAATGGCCAGTTTCGAGAAACCATGGCAACACTGCAATTTCGTTTCAATTCATTAGAACTACGAAATCGATTCATTGCAACTAATGCGTGTAAACATAACCACGTGTTTACGTATGACAAAAATGGAAATAGAAGAAATTAAAAACGAAGAGGAATTAAAACCGTCCCAAAACGGTGAGGTTTTATTACCACAGATAATTAAACACAATTTCATAAAGAACAAGGAGATCCGCAATCGACAATATCAGAAATTAAAGCGAGAAAAGAAGAAGGTAAGTTGGAGGTTAGGTTTCTTCGCATTTTCACAATTATTTTCAGCTAAAAAAGAAAGAACGAGCCAAGAAGAAAGAGGAGGATGCGCCCAAGAAGGCTCCCCATACAATTGAAAGTTTAAGGGAGAAGGACGAGACGTCCGTGGGCGATTTATCAGCGGAAGAAAATGTGGCTGTCCTCGCCGACATACAACAGGACGAATTCAGCGATTATTACCAGAACACCTACGAACCGAAGGTGGTCATCACTTACTCTGACAACCCGACGAAGAAGACTCGCATATTCGGCCGCGAGCTCACCCGTATGATCCCCAACTCGAAATCCTTCTATCGCAATCGATCGAGTGTCAAAAAGATGGTCAAGAGCGCCAAGGCGGAGAACTACACCGACATCATAATCATAAATGAAAACCGCAAGCAACCCAACGGGATCCTCGTAATTCACCTGCCCGACGGGCCGACCGCCCACTTCAAGCTGAGCAACGTCCGTATCACGACGGAAATGCGCAAGACGCACAAGGCGATTACCGAGCACCGGCCCGAGGTCATCCTCAACAACTTCACCACCCGGCTCGGGCTGACGATCGGCCGAATGCTCGGCTCGCTCTTCCACTACAACCCCGAGTTCGAGGGGCAGCGCGCGGTCGCCTTCCACAATCAGCGCGATTACATCTTCTTCCGTCATTACAAGTACGATTTCGACGCAAACGGAAAGAAGGCGAAATTGAGGGAGCTCGGACCGAGGTTCACGTTGAAGCTGCGCTCGTTGCAGAGGGGCACATTCGATAGTAAGTACGGGCAGTACGAGTGGATCATTGAGGGGAGAAGGCACGCGATGGAGACGAGTCGCAGAAAGTTCTTCTTGTAAATAAATGCTTTTCGCTTTACTTTATTATTAAAAGCGCATTATTATTTACTTGTGTTTTTAATCGGCAGAAATTAGTCGCGAATCTTAAAGAAAGGTCTGGTCCCTGATACTCATTTTTTTGGCTCTTGAGGTTTCTGTAAATGTTCCTCAAAACTCATTCACACTTAAAAATTAATACTTTTGAAGGGTTCTTAGACTCAAAAACTTAAAACCTTTAATGGCTCTTAAAAAGATCAGTAAAACCTAGATTTTAAAGCTTAATTTAGAAGACTGAGGATCTGAAAAAAGTTTACGAAATCCCGATTTTTTCAGACTCTTAAAAGGGCGCATGGAATCTCTTAAAGGCTCATCAACATTCCCTAAAAACTAAGGGACTTGAGGGTTGCGGAGACTGCTCAATTCATAGAAAAGACAATTGCACAGCTGCTGAGTTTCCAAAGAGTCTTGAGATTCTTGAACGTTATTGAAGGACGCCTTTTTCCTTAGAGGTTGTTACGTGAGAATCTCCGAAAAACCACAACAACCTTTAAAACCAAGATGAGATCTGCTGACACGTCGGAATTTCCGCAAAACTTCCGACTTGTCAGCGAAAACTCACACTGAGAGAAAAATCTGTTAGCAGTAATAAAAAAAATTTAATACTATATGTGACTATACAACTTGTTATTCACGATAATTAAACAGAGTTTTCTGTACCTGTTTGATTACAGTCAAATTTTAATTTTATTTGTAATTACATCAATTACCGTAGGTATTTGAAAACCTGGCACCAGACATAAACTTTCTTTAGAGACAATTAAAGGCATTTATTATGAATAATATACAGTTTAATTAGAATAAGTGTACGTTAAATAACCTTAAATAGTACACTAAATTGTTGTAAGTATATAATATATTTAGGAAGATTTAACCGCAAAATAACTGTAGGTAGCAAAGCGAGGTGTTGTAGAAACGTAGTTAAATTAGAATGGTTTTTCATTGACTTACTACAGTACATCTTGTTTAATTGTGTTAAAAATCTATTCCTTAACTTAAGGGCAATTGGAATTAGTAATAACGTAATTCACAATGGTATTTATTAGACAAAAATGAAAAACGTACATATTACACTTAAAAACAACAACAATCCTATACCTATCTAACAATAAAAAATGAAAATCAAATGAAAATGCCACTTAGGATACAATTAATAAATTGTGATGTAATATTCATTATTTACAATGATGCACTGATTGACATAAACAATATCTGAAAGCATAATATACTCGGTCGTGTCTGTACGTTCCACCTTGAACACATCACGACATACAATTTGAACAATTTTCATCAGTGAGGGCCAATTGCACCGTCAAAATTAAGTATCCCTTAAAGTTAAGCATAACTTAAATAAAATACCATAGCAACGATTGTCTTAATAATCGTTGCCATAGATTTTAAGTTCGACTTAACTTTAAGCAAGGCTTAATTTTTTTTGGTGCAACTGGGTCTCAGTAGCTTAAAAACTTAAAAAATAATTTCGGTAGACAGCAATAGTAGCAAAAATATAACTCTTTCTACTTACCTAAGAAATATAGTCGAAATATACATCAAGTCCCCATTTAATAAGTAATGACTTAAATTCGCTCATTTTGGGGTAGGTATGGCGTAAATTTCAGCTCTTGGTACACTAGGTACAATATAATAAAACCGAATAAAACTTACACCCGCACAGCACAATGTACCTGCATGCGTATATTAAGAAACTGCTATATACCTACAGCTTTTATGGTCGTCAAGAAACGAACGAAAACGGCTTCTGAGGACGATTGCTACAAGTAGATGTTTACTCGCCATAAATTAGTATTTCATAACGCCAACTAAACTAAACGTTTATGGCAGTTACAAAAACGTAATTAAGCAAGAATATCCAATTCAATGCAACAGTTTTATAACTGCAGCGAAAACGCTATCTGCTGTTATTCTACCTATGAAAATCTACAAGCGTTTAGCAAATATGTCTAATTGCCCTTATTCGCCACTTCTAGAAAATCTATTTTACTTAACACAGTAGGTATATGAGATTATTGTCATAAATTGATAACTAATTGAGGCAAATAATAGTATATTAAGATACAAGTGTATAATCAAGTCTTGAAGCACGCGCAACGAGTTTAAGGGCACGACGCAAAGCGGAGTGCCTTTAACGTTGCAAGTGCTTTAAAGACCAATTATACACGTGTATCTTATAGTATTTTTTATTATACCTGCAGCATAATTTAAAAATAGGAAATACAATGAAATCATATTGACGTTATACTCGAATACATGTCTAATTAAGTGGGCTGGGTGTTCGTAATTTCACGATTGCCATGGAAATGTCACTTGACGTTTGCTTATAAAAATCACCGTCTTTGTGAATAAAACGATTTCCGTTGAAAAAGATGATACACCGTCCATTAAATGGCTTGTTGTAAAATCTAAACAAACGTTGGTAGGTGTAAAATCCAAATCCAGTAAAGCCTATTATAAAGAATATGAAAAGTTGTTTCCATGGATGAATAGGAAGTTACTTACGAATAAAGTCTTAAATGCATCGATAATGCTGGCATACCTATGAAGGAAATGTCAAAGGTATTTAAATCTTCTATCTTTTGGTGCATTCATTCAAAACTTCGAACAATGCTGCGATTAAAAAGTCGAACATATTTGGAAGCATACCCTAAATGACGCGCGTTTGTGAAAGCTTCAACCAAAGGATAGTTACAAGCCAAATAAATGTTCTGCATTTACAGAAAGCGACCTAAGAGGATTTTTATTTCATCCAGATGACAGTTTCAAAAGTCATACTTGAAGTATCGTTACTTAGCAACTTTAAAGCACGTGTGTTTTAAAGGCCCTTTTTCGCACGCATTTGAGTGTTTAAAACGGAGATTGTGATTCAGGTATAATAAAAAAACATTTATTGTAATTAAAATATTTTCAGGTAGACACTTTGATTATATTATTTCTCTCAGTGCACATCTCGTCCTTGGTTGGTAAACAATATACAATTATTAAATAAAAATGGGATTGTAAAAACGGCGACCTTGTATTTTCTGATCGCTGCGGCAGTCATCGATCGCAGTACCTACTAATGCCATGTCCATTAAGTTCATGAAAAAAAAGCACTTTACTGTGAGCAAACAGGATGTAATGAAAGGTAGTGATCTTGTCGTAAAGTGCTGCGAGAAAACACATTAGCGTACATGTTTATACTCACTCAACAACCTACGTATGTATGTTCAGTCGTCACTCAGCACCTAACGATTCAGTTTGAGGGTTGTAACACAATAATGAAAGTTACATCGTATGTCATTTTTGTATCTTTTTTAAGCGCCACAAGTGGTATTTCATTTATACACAATCAGAGATCCTGGGAGGTATGTACAGAAAAAGTGATTCGAACGATTTTTGGAAACGAAACTCTCTACTATGTTTTCAAGGAAAGTAGTGACCTGTTACCGTTCAATATAAGAAACCAAAGGATTCTTATTAACATCGACTATCCCATACCTCGCAGGATCGGAAAGGTTTTCAACAATTTCATATTCGAAGCTAGAGATTTGGGTGTTTTATATCGTTGTATATCTGGCAGTTTTGGCGATCGACAAGGATGAAAATGCAAGATCGTTCTTATTTACGGCAAATCCGCATGATGCTCAGAACCATTGCGGCCAAGTGTCAAACAGAATTCATGTACAAAGTTGTGATCAAGCGATCGCTGACACAATGCCGCGTCCTATAAGAGACTATCACGAATGTCCCACACGATTCAGTACTAGTGCCTTTTTGCACTTTATGTATAAATTTAATCGCAGAGATTTCACCATTAACATGGCGGCTGAAATATTGAATATCTCTTTGAATCAATCTGGTATGAGTGGCATTATAGTAGATGATGGACTACCAATTTTTCATATAAACCGAGGTTCTCGTGTGAGTCACGTGTACATACGGGACGTCATAGTGTGGGTAGTTCCACCAACAAATGCCATTTCGTCATTAGAAATTTTAGCAGTTAATTTTGAAAAGGAGGTTTGGATATTGGTTTCGGTTGTTTTTTGCATTATTTACCTTTGCGTGGTACGTTTTGGACAAATTCAAAACAAGCTTCGGTGAAATTGTTCTGAACACTTTTGGAATCACGCTATTTGGAAGCACCAATCGTATTACCAATTCTTCAATACTAAAATTCGTAATTCTGTGCTACATTATATACATCGTGCACATACAAACAGCGTACGTATCAAACTTAATGCGCCTGATGACTACACCCCCGAGAAGTCAACCGATTCGCAATATAAAGGAGCTGCTAGAAGTTGAGATTCCAATTTGTTGGGATTTTACTGCCGCAGCGGTAAGAACGGTACACAAGTTACTAGATCATGGGAAGATATACAGCAAGATGAAGTTAAGACCATGTCCCATACGAGATCAAGATCCCCGTGTGCTGTTGGAGAGTTGGTCTGCACGTCCAAATTTCTCTATCGCTATTCCATTGAAAACACTACACTCACTGGCACCGGGTTTACGATTGCATACTCCAAATTACTTCATTGATAATCACTTTGTACCTCCCTTGATGCAGACCTTTATAAGTAAGAGAAGTAGTTTCATTATCGACAGTTTAAACATAGTCATCGACAGATTGACCGAAAGCGGTTTGTACGACAAACTAGATAGAGATCGAGAATATTACGACGACTCCAAAAGAAGGGAATTACCGCAAGAAGATGAAGTGGTGGCGCTATCTTTACAGCATTTGAATGGAATTTTTATTGTATTCTCTTTCGGTGTGGTTTTATCTGTAGTGGCGTTTATTGGAGAACTGATTGCACATCGATTTTTAATGTAAGTAGGTAGTTTGATTTGCAAATTGCACTTCGCTCACTGAAAATGTTTTAAAATGTTATTGCCAAGAAGAGGTATGTAATTAAAATAAAAATTCTTTTCCGGCACCAAGACACGCTTTACCTTAGAATAAATTTTTAACTATCTTGTATTTATCAGAAGAATAAAACTTGCTAAAA